ATGTGCGAGGCGCTAGAGCGATAGCCACATATTGAAAACGGTCCGCCCTCCAGCCGTGAAACTGTGGCAACTTTCAAGCGTCAATGCGATAAATGGTGAGGACGTTTCAGGCGAAACCCCCAGCCTGGACTCCCTACACGTCCAGGGGTGCGACAGGGAGAGGTACTGATCAGCAAAAGGAGACGAGGGGAAATGGGGGGGAGCAGGAGGCAGGGGAGGGAGGGAGGGATACCAGAGCGCGCCGACCCCGTTCCCTCTTGCCTGGCGTAGCAGGGCGCCTGGGGAGTCAGAGGATGCAGACAGACATACGAACTAGCATTAAGTCGGGCGTCCCCCAGACTGGGGGATCTTCAACAAAAAAAAAAAGAAAATACTCAAAAAAATACTCCCAAATAATCAAAAAAATACTCAAAAAACAGTCCCCAAACTATTGTTTTACTATTTTTGAACATCCCCGCGTGTCTGGTGGTGGTGCACGTCCGACACGGAAGCCGAACACGAACGCATTACAGCAGACCGCTACCCGCCACCCAGCATCTGCTGCAAGAGCTCCGAACGCGCGCGTCGCCCAAATGGGGGGGCGGATGCGCACATTACCAATGGCGGCAAGCGAGGCGGGGAAGTGAGAAGGGGCGGGGCTTCTCAGAAGGCTCGGAAGTCCCCCGGCCTTCTGAGAAGGTTTCGAAGCCAGGCCTGACGCACACATAGGATGGGCAGGTTTGGGTATTGTAATGCTGACGTTTGACTGTCGTCCTCTCCGCCACCACCAAGGACAAACAGGAACGACGACCATGAGGAGGGGCAGGAGGAGGAGGAGGAGGAGCAGGAGGCGGAGGAGCAGGAGGAGCAGGAGGAGCAGGAGAAGGAGAGGGAGGAGGAGGAGGAGGAGGAGGAGGAGGAGGAGGAGGAGGAGGATCGTCCGCTCGGCTGGCTGCGCGAGATAGACGCGACCTCGGCGCGTCGCTCACACAGCCGAGGACCAAGCAGCAGCGCAAGGCGAGGGGGCAGGGCGCCCCTTAGCACCTCCGCGCGCCTCGGTGGCACGACGGCTCTTCTCGAAGGCCGCCTGCGTTCTGCAGGTCCCACGAGGCACCGGCGCCGTCATCGCACTGCCCCAGCGGAACGCTGGCCCAAAAGAAAAGAAGGGGCCCTGCTGGCCACGGCCAGCCTCGGCCACGCACGGGTGCCCCGACCCAAATCCGAAAAATGGCCCGAGAACCGGAACCCCTCCTGAGCCCCACGTAGTCCTGACTTCAGCGCCCGGTCCGTGAGGCAGCGGTGCCCAGGGAACGAAAGGGCGTTCCTGGCCTCGGAGGGCCTCGGCCAAGGATAGGCTCCCCGACCCAGACCTGGGGAACGGCCCGAAAACTAGAGCCCCTCCTGAGCCCAAAGTTGTCCTTACTCCCGCGTCGTGAGTGCGTTCGACCGTTGCTGCAGCGCGGCCAGAGATACCCCAAGTCGGTTCTGAGAAGGCCACAAGGAGCGCTCATGTGACGCCAAGATATCCGCACGAGGGGGATCGACAGTCATACTTTTGAGAGCGACGATTTACGTAACAGCAAGGACTACGTGCATGGATGCACGTGGGTCCACCCTTCTATCCTGATCCCGGGTCGACCTGCAGGCAGACAAGAGCGTCCAAGACGCTCCTTCAGCGGTTGTTTCCGAGCAGCACCATCAGCTAGATCCCTCTCCCCCTCTTCCTCCGCCTTGCCATCCTCCTCCTTTCTCTCCTCATCCTCCTCCTCCTCCTCCTCCTCCTCCTCATCCTTCTACTCCTCCTCCTCCTCCTCATCATCATCATCAGCATCATCAGCCATCATCATCATCAGCATCATCATCATCATCACCACCACCACCACCACCACCACCACCATCATCATCATCATCATCATCATCATCGTCATCATCGTCATCGTCATCATCGTCATCATCATCCTCATCCTCATCCTCATCCTCATCCTCCTCTTCCTCCTGGTCCCCCTCCTCCTCCTCCTCCTCCTCCCTCCTCCTCCTCCTCCTCCTCCTCCTCCTCCTCCTCCTCCTCCTCCTCCTCCTCCTGCCTCCTCCTCTTCCTCCTCCTCCTCCTCGTCATTATCATCATCATCCTCCTCCGCCTCCCCCTCTTCCCCCTCCTCATCATCATCCTCCTCCTCATCCTCCTCGTCCTCAGCATCATCCGCCTCGTCTTCAGCATCATCCGCCTCCTCCTACTTCCGCATCCTCATCCTTCCTTATCCTCGTCATCATCACCATCATCAACATCATCATTATCATCATCCTCATCATCATCATCAGCAACAGCATCATCAACATCATCATCAGCATCATCATCATCATCATCATCATCATCATCATCATCACCCTCATCATCATCATCATCATCATCATCATCACCCTCATCATCATCATCATCATCATCATCATCATCATCATCATCATCATCATCATCATCATTATCATCATTATCAGCATCAGCATAATCATCAGCAGCATCATCATTTCAAGTATACTCGTCATCAGCATCATCATCATCAGCAGCAGCATCATCAGCACCATCGGCATCATCAGTACCAGCATCAGCATCATCAGCATCATCATCAGTATCAGCTCATCCTCTTCCTCGTTCCGCACATCCTTCCCCGTCCTCATCCTTCCGCCTCCTCCTCCTCCTCATTCCCCCATCCTCCTTCCCCCTCCGTCTCCTCCTTCTCCTGCTCCTCCTCCTCATCCTCCTCCTCCTCCTCTTGCTCCTCCTCCGCTTCCTCATCATCCTCATCCTCCTCCTCTGCTTCCTCCTCCTCCGCCTCCTCCTCCTCCTCTTTCTCGTCCACCTCCTCCTCCTCACCATCATGATCATCCTCATCATAATCCCCATCCGCATCATCCTCCTCATCCTCAGCCTCCTCCTCCTCCTCCTCCTCCTCATCCTTCTCCTCCTTCTCCTCCTCCTCCTCCTCCTCCTCCTCCTCTTCTCCGTCCACCTCATCCTCCTCCTCTTCTTCCTCCTCAGCTTTATCCTTTGTTCTCCTCGTCATCCTCCTCCTCCTCCTCCTCGTCCACCTCCTCTTTCTCCTCTTCCTCCATCTCTTCCCCCTCCGCATCCTCATCCTCCTCCTCATCATTCTCCTCCTCATCCTCCTCCTCCTCAGCATCAGCCGCCTCCTCCTACTTCCGCATCCTCATCATTCCGTATCATCGTTCTTCATCATCATCCTCCTCGTCATCATCAGCATCATCAGCATCACCAACATCGTCATCGGTCGGCATCATCATCATCATCAGCCTCATCGTCATCATCATCAGCAGCATCATCATCGTCAGCATCATCATCAGTATCAACGTCAACAGCCTCATCCTCATCGTCATCATCATCAGCAGCATCATCATCAGCCTCAGCAGCATCATAATACGCATCCTAAACATCATCAGCAGCAGCATCATCAGTATCAGCAGCATCATCATCATTCACATCCTCCTCCTCCTCATCCGCATGAGCATCTTCCTCTCTCTCCTCCTCATCATCCTCCTGCTCCTCATCCTCCTCCTCCGACGCCTCCTCCTCCTCCTCCTCAGCTTTCTCATCATCCTCCTCATCCTCCTCATCCTCATCGTCCTCCTCCTCATCCTCCTCATCCGCCTCATAGGCAGATTCCTCCTCATCCTATTCCGCGGTGTTCGTCGTCATCATCATTCTCATCCTCCTCGTCATTCTCCCCCTCTGCGTAGTAGTCTTCGTCGCATTCTATGAACAGTAATACTAATAGTATGAGTACCAGTACTAGTAGTAGTAGTAGAAGAAGTGGTAGTAGTAGTAGTAGTAGTAGTAGTAGTAGTAGTAGTAGTAGTAGTAGTAGTAGTAGTAGTAGTAGTAGTCGTAGTAGTAGTAGTAGTAGTAGTAGTAGTAGTAGTAGTAGTAGTAGTAGTAGTAGTAGTAGTAGTAGTAGTAGTAGTAGTAGTAGTAGTAGTAGTAGTAGTAGTAGTAGTAGTAGCAGTAGTAGTAGTAGTAGTAGTAGTAAGTAGTAGTAGTAGCAGTAGCAGTAGCAGTAGCAGTAGTAGTAGTAGTAGTAGTAGTAGTAGCAGTAGCAGTAGCAGTAGCAGTAGCAGTAGCAGTAGCAGTAGCAGTAGCAGTAGCAGTAGCAGTAGTAGTAGTAGTAGTAGTAGTGATAGTAGCATTAGTGGTATTAGTAGCATTAGCCATACACTTAGTACTAGTAGCATTACTGCTAGTAGTAATACGATTAGTGTTAGTAATAGTAGGTATTGCTCGTGTAATGTTTCTAGTACTATAAGTATCATTAGTAGTGCTACTAGTAGTAGATGCTGTAGCAGTAGTAGTATTAGTAGTCGTAACAATATTTTTGGGTTTAGTCATGGTCGTCGTAGTGCTCGTTTACTTCCTGATGTTAGTGTTAGCAGTATTAGTTGTCTTAGTGTGATCTGGAGTATTCTTCGTAGTGATTTTAATACTAGTATGCTGATTATGCTGAGTACTATTAATCGTCGAGTTATTCGTGTCTGTCTTCTTCAAGTTGGTCATACTATCATCCGTACTATGAAAACAATATTCGTATGATTCGAATTATGCACGTTCTTCATATGCGTAGTATGAGTACTACCAGTATTCCCATTAGTAGTCGTAGTATGCTTCTTCTTAGCAGTAGCATTATTAATATGACTATTCCTATTAGTGTTCGGCTTCGTATTAGTCTGATTGTTAATATTCCTCCTCTTCCTCCTCCCTTTCCCTCCCTCCCTCCCTCCCTCCCCACCTACCTCCCTCCCTCCTCCTCCTCCTCCTCCTCCTCCTCCTCATCCTCCTCTCGTCCTCTCCTCCTCTGCTCCTCTCCTCCTCCTCCTCCTCCTCCTCCTCTCCTCCTCCTTCTCCTCCTCTCCGCCTTCCTCTCCTCCTCCTCCACCTCCTCCTCCTCCTCCTCCTCCACCTCATCCTCCTCCTCCTACTCCTACTCGTACTCCTACTCCTCCTCCTTGCATTTCGAGGTCCCCAGCTCCGCCGCCGCAGGCCAGATATCGGAAGGCATTTGGAAACCAGGACCGTTTCCTCGAAGATTTCCAGCCGAGTAACAGCTGCTGGACCAGGGCCTGGTTGGCGGTTTTATGCGACAGCGGGACCGCACCACCTGGCGTATGGAGACCCGTCGCACGAGGGCACAGTGCACAGGCAATTTGGCGCTGGCGCCTGTTGCACCAGAGAGACAGGGAGGAAGAAGAGCAGCAGGCGAGAGTGCGCAGGCGCTAACAGTTAGATGTTCGCTCTGGGGACCTCCCTGGAGCCACTCGCTCCTCTCATGCGTCGATGCTGCGTCGAACGTCCATCGACTTGAGTCGAACCTGAATCGAAATAGAGTCGGGATAGATTCGACCAGATCCGTCAGGTGAGCCCCAAGGGGAGTCCCCAAAGCGAGCATCCAATGCGAGGGTTCCCCCAGACCCCAGGCGTGGACGGCAGCAGAGGATCCCCAGAGAGGGACACTGCGCAAGGCCCGCGCCTTCCACTTGGCTTAGGTCGGGCATGTCCCCTTCAGGCGGATTGTAAGCGAAAAATGAAAAATACTAGAAAAAGAATCCAAACACGATCAAGAATAGTAACAAATTCGTCCCCAGACTATGTTTTACTATCTTTGAATATTCCTCCTGTAGAGGGACACGCCCCACTTAATCGTAGGGGCGCTGCCAACACACGGCGGCCTGAGCCTTCAAAACGACGTGCCGGCGCCTCGCGAAGACTGCTGCTGCGGCCCGCGTCCACCATCATCCCGCAGCGCACGCAGCCGAGGGCTGCCAGAGACACGGGGGAGGGGCACAGAGGAACAGGGGCCTCCCGGCGCTCGGACTGCAGCCAGCCCACTGCCCACAAATTTTGTTGCAAACGAGAGACTCGCTGTCGACGCTTCCCCGCCGGCGCCGCCGCTGGCCGCTCCGACACGGTCTGACTGTCGGGCAGTTCCACCCCACACAGTCCTCAACCCGGCAATGAGCTTGGCGCAGACTCTGTCGGGCAACTCGACCAGGGCGCCATGGGTCTCGCCATGTCTGGAGCATCAGCTTCCTCTCGGAAGCTGGGCGAGGGCTGGCAAATCCGTGGCTGCTAAAACGGTTTTCCCGGAAGAACAAAAAAAGGCCCTGGAGTATAATTCAGCGCACGAAATAGTAAACGGGCTGCTTCCTCGAAGAAAAAAAAAAAAAAAACGGAGATCAGTTCTAGCAGCCACGGGGTTTGCCAGCCTTCGCCTGGCTTCTGATCCTCGTCGCTCTGCGCCACCCGAAGCAGGCTCGAGGCTACGTCAGCGGCGCTTGGCCCTCCAGGCGGCCTGAGGCTACTCGGCTGCCCGAGACCGCCTCCCTGTCGCGGCAGCAGCCCGCAGGGCAGTGCGCAGGGATTCGGCGGCACGCTGGCTCCTGAGCTCGTCTGCGCCCAGAGCATGGCTGGCGTCGCTGCCGCCAGAGGAGGGTAGGGGGCCGCATGCGAACCTTTTCCCTACCCCCCACGATTCCTGAGGGGGAGGGTGGGGTTCATTTCGCTCGGGAGCTCCCGAGCGAAGTGAACCCCACCCTCCCCCTCAGGAATCGTGGGAGATAACTTGGGGCAGGGTTCGCATGTGGCCCCCCAGGAGGGGGCGGCAGCCGCGACCAGGCAGCTGAGTGCCCTCAGCTCGGAGGCCTCACACTGCACAGACAGAGGGCTCTCCGGAGACCGCGCACCCTGGCGCTCCGCTAGGCATTCGGCCTCGCCCTCCAGGGCCGGGGACTGCACAGACAGCGGGCTGCTCGGGGGCAGGGCGCCCTGGCGCTCAGCGACACATTCGACCACGCCCTCCTCCAGGGCCAGAGCGTCCCGTTCACAAGCGAGCCGCTGCTGCCGCTCAGTCTCGAGGCCCGCGGCCGCCGCGACCTCGGTCTTCAGCTCCTGAAGTGCCGACTGCAGGGTCTCCACGTCTCTTCGCAGCTCGGCCGACGACATGGGCAGGCCCGTCTTCAGCAGACCAATGTCCGCCTGCAGCATGTCAACGTCGCCCTGCAAGGCAGACGATGCGGCACCCAACTTGTCGAGCTCGGCCTGCAGACGATCGATCGCGCCGCGCACGGACAGTGATGCAGTCTCCCCAGTCGTCACCATCTGGACGAAGTCCTCTGACAAACGCACAACGTCGCTGCGCAACGCTGCTGACGAGGCTCCCTGAGATCTCAGGTCGTCAAGCTCTGCCTGCAGGCTCGCGACGCTGCCTTGCAAGTCTGCCGATCCTACGCCCTGGGCCTTCAGCCGGCCCAGCTCCGCCTGCAGGCCTTCGAGGTCGCTCCGCAGCTCCGCCGAGCGCGCGCTCTGGCTCCGCACGACCTGGCCCAACTCTGCGGCGACGCCGTCGACCCTGACCTCCAGCTCCTTGCACAGCGCCAGTGCCCGCGCCTCTGCCTCCGCGAGGCCGCTCGCCCACTGGCCGGCCGCCTGCTCCTCGGGCAGGCACTGGACGGCCCCCGCCAGCCGCTGCACCTCTCGGGCCAGCTGCTCGAGGTCCTCGGCCGGCGCCGGAAGCCGCAGCGGGCCGAGGCCGTGGAGGCTCGCCTGCAGCGCCTGCACCCGGGGCTCCATGACGCTCAGCCTCTGATGGGCTGACTTTCCACCACCACAACCACAAGTAGGAGAGGGAGGAGGAGGAGGAGGAGGAGGAGGAGGAGGAGGAGGAGGAGGAGGAGGAGGAGGAGAAGGAGGAGGAGGAGGAGGAGGAGGAGAAGGAGGAGGAGAAGGAGGAGGAGGAGGAGGAGGACCTCTCCATCCTCCCTTCTCCCCCGTCCTACCTATGGTAGTGGTGGTGGAAAATTGGCCCATCAGCCTCTGCTCCTGGTCCGCGATGCTGGCCACGGCCTCCCTCAGCTGCTCGGCGAGGTCGCCGCGGCCGTCCCCTCGAGGGGCCGCGTCGACCCTCGCCCGGAGCTGCTCCTGAGCGCACTCCGCGAGGTCGCTCTTCGCGCGCAGGGCGGCGAGGGCGTCTCGGAGCTCCTGCACCTGCAGCGGCAGCTCCTCGGCGCTAGCGGTCCTGTCCTCGTCGCCCGCCCGCGCCCGGGCTGGCACCAGCCGCGCCTCAAGCTGCTCCTGCACCTGCTCGACGCCCTCCAGCCTCCTCGTCAGGCGGGTCACTTGCTCCGCGTTGAAGGCGGCCTGGCGGGCCTCCTCCTGCAGGCTGCGCCTCAGCTGTACGATCCTGCCGTCCCAGTCGCCGCGCTCCACGCGCTCCTTCAGCTCGTGCCAGGCCTCCTCCCGGCTCTCAACCTTGCGACTGGCGGCGCTCAGCTGCTGCTCCTGCAAGGCCAGCCGCGAGTGCAGCTCGCTGGAGTCCTGCAGCACCTCGTCGAGCCTCGCGGCCAAGTCGGACACGCGCCGCTCCAAGATGCAGAGGTGCGCGGCGCTGGCAGGCTCCCCTGCGACGGCCGTCGGGGTCGTCAGCCAGCCGCTGGCCACAGGGGCATCGGCGGCGAGGACGGACGTCGCCTGCTCGATCTCGTCGATTTTGGCCTGCGCAACCTCGCATAGTTTCGCCTCGAGGTCCTCCAACCGCCCCGAGAGAATCTCGCCAGCGCGCCTGTTCGCACAGAGTTCGTCGCTGACTTTCTGCTGCTTCTGCTGCTGGCTCTGGTGGTGCCTCTCCAGCGAGTCGTGGCACTCGGAGATGTCCTTGGCCACCGCCTTGATGTCCTGCTCCAGCTCCGAGTGCCTGCTCCTGAAGCTGTCCTCAAGCGCCCGGCGCGACTCGCTGAAACGTTCCTCGACCGCATCCGCGTGACGAATCTGCGCCTGCATCTCGTCGGATATCCGCCTCCGTGCCTCTGGACACGGAAAGGGCCCCAAGAGGCCACAAAACGGCAGGCGTCCAAACTGCCTCCAAGAGGCCCCCGATAGGCCTCCCACGAGATCCCAACAAACATCCAATATGCTTCATACCCACGACCCAGGCACGGTAGCGCGATGGGCCGAAGGCCATTAGATACAAACCAGCTTCCCGTTCAGCTCCGCCAGCCCCCGGCTCGCCCTGGCCTGCACGCCCTCGAGCGATCCCAGCTTCTCCTCCACGCGGGCCAGGGCCGCCTCCCGGATCCGGTCGGAGTGCGTGCGCGCCTGCTCCAGCTGGCCCAGCACCCTCTGCTCGAAGGCATCCTGCTGCCTCCTCAGCAGCGCGATCGTCGCCGCGTCAGGTCCTGCCCTGGCACTCCAGACTGGGCGTGATGATAGAAGAAGAAATATCAACCTCAACATAAAATCTCGGAGGTCCACGCAGATTTCCTGGGTCGGCGCTGGACCCCCCGGCGCGCGGAGCGCGCAAGGGACGGTCAGCACCGCACGGATCAGAGAAATCGGCGCGGACCTCGGAACGTTTACGCCTGTGCCGATCCTTCTTCTCCCGGGTGAGGAAGCGCTCGAGGGGCGAAGGTGGCTCGGGGGCGTCCGCGGCACCGGGGACTCTGGCACCGAAGCGCCGCTCTCGTGAGCCCCCGCCATGAGGTGGCGGCCGCGGGCAAAGGGCGTATGCCGCGCCCACGCCCCCGTGCTGACCCAGAGGCTGCGGATTCATGCCTGGCGCTCGTTGGCAGCCCACACGCGGATCCTACCCCTGCAGGTCAGGTTTCTCCGAGCTCGGATTCCAGCCTGGGCTCGGACTCGGGCTAGGGTTCGGGCCTGGATCTGGGCCCGGGCTCGGGCTCGAACTCGTCTTGGGCTCGGGCTCGGGCTCGGGTGGGAGACGACCGTCTCACAACTCTTGATCATGCCGACACACCACCCCTTGGATTGCATTGCCATGAATCGTTTTTTTATTGTTGTTTCTTGACGATTCTTAGTCGCGTCAGAACGCCATTCTTCGGACTCCAACGCCGCGGCTCAGTGAGATGGTTGCGCCCCAAAAAAGCCCTAAACCGTGCCGGAACACCATTCTGGGGACGTCCATGCAATGCGCGCGGCACTCAGGCGATACCGCATTTTGGAACAAAGCCATGTTGCAGTCGCGAATCTTCTGCGAACTTTTAAGACGAATCCGTGCGGCGCTAAGGCGAGAGCCACGTTTGTAAAAAAACACCCGCCTGAGACGAATGTGCGCCTCTGACCCGCTCCGCCTCGCCTCCCGCCCCCGCTCGTCGCGCGTCCCTCTCTTCCTGCGGCCCTTCCTTCTCTGATCTGTCTGAATGAATTCATCATGTAGCGCCCGCCGACGCGCCTTTGGGCGTACAGCTTCTGTTTCGTTCTGTGCAGTAAGACGAATGTGCGCGGCGCCAACGCGATAGCCACATTTCGAAAAGAAACCGCCCTCATCCGTGAATCCCGTGCAAATGTTCAAAACGAATCTGCGCGGCGCTCTAACAAGAGGCACATGTTGAAAATCACCTGCCCTCCAAATGCGAAACTCTTGCAAGTTTTTGATACGAATGTGCGCGGGGTTGATTCGAGAACCACATTTTGAAAACGACCCGCCCTCCATCAGTGAAGCCCGTACGATCTTATAAGATGAGCGTGCGCGGCCCTAGGGCGGAAACTACATTTAGAAAATGAATCGCTCTCCATCCGCGAAGCTCTGCGAATTTTCAGTTTCAGGGTCATACATCGTGCGGAAGTGTCAACCAAAACGCACAGCCCGCCTTACCGACACGTCTCGGGGTGCAACAGGGAGAAATTATTTGTAAGGAACAAGGATGGAGAAGGAGGACAAACCCCAGCGCGGCGTATTTCAGGGATGGTTCGGGGGGCCTCTTGAGGGACTGCCCACATGTGTCGTACCAGTCGTGGCCTCGCTTTCGGGGAGCTGTCCGGGTAACATGCCAGTCGGCGAGCCGGTGGCAGACGACAGGGATATAACGATCGCCATGGAACAAGCGGGTCCTTGGGGATAAGGGGTCTAAGGCTTTTCGCTTTTGGAACCAAGCACGAACCTCCCGAGACAGGCCAATCCGACCAAGTTTAACGCACCCGGGGATCCTGGGAACAGACCTCGGGCGGCCCCTCGGCCGCGCAGGCAAAAAGACTCATTTCTCCCATGCCCGAGAAACACACACATCAACATACACACACTACAACAATAAGAATAATAATAATGATAAAAATAATAATAATAATAAATAACAACAAGAACAACAATAACAATAACAACAACAACAACAACAACAACAACAACAACAACGACGACAACAACAGCAACATAAACAACAACCACAACAACAACAGCAATAACAAAAACAACAACAACAGCAAACAACAAGACAACACCACAAAACAATACACAACACACAACATACACACACCAGTACAACATACACCAACCCCAGTTAACAACAAAAAAACACCAACAACTACAGCAACAACAACGACAACGACAATAACTACACCAAAAAAACAAACAACAAAAACAACGACAAAAACAAGAACGACATTAACAAAAACGACAACGACAACAACAACAACAACAACCACTGCGACGACGACAACAACAACGGCAGCAGCAACAGCCTCAACAACAATGACCAAAAGAACAACAAACAACAGCAGCAGCAACAAGAACAACAACAACAACATCATCAACAAAACACACGTACCGCACAACACACAACACAAAAGACACAACACGCAACGCGCAACACACAAAGCACGCACGCACATTTTGGCGGTCGCGGCCTTGCGCGTGGCTACCTAACACACACACACACACACACACACACACACACACGCACACACACACACACACACACACACACACCGCACACACACACACACACACACACACACACACACAGATACACACACACACACATACATACACAAACAAACACACACACACACACTCTCACACACACACACACACACACACACACACACACACACACACACACACGCACACACACACATGCACACACGCACACACGCACACACACACACACCAACACAAACACACACAAACAAACACACACACACACACACGCACACGCATCCGCTGTCGCAGGCGGGACCACCTTATCGCCGTCCAGCACGCGCTGAGGCCACGCGAAAGCTCAATAACCGAACAGAAAACAAAACAGAAAAACAAAAATCGGCCGGCCTCTCACAGAGCAGCCGCATGAAGCCGCAGGGGCGCCGGGGCAACGGGCAGCCAGCGGGCGCCGGGAAGGCGGCGGGCAGGCAGCAGCGCCTGTCGCATGCGGGGGGGACTACCGAGCTAGCGGCTGTCGAAAGGCCAAACCGCTGCAAAATCAAGCAGGCGAGGCTTGTTTTTCTATCGGGCCTCTGCAACACAAACCAAGTCACAGCGAGAGTTTTGAATTGCTACCAATAGGGCGTCCACTTGAAATGATCTGCCGGCGCTCGTCGAAGCTTCAAACCAAACAGCGTTGGCACAGACCCACTCGTGCATACACGACTGGCACCACCCGCTTGGCAAAAATCTCGTCGTCAGAAGGAAGGAAAGACAGAAGGTTTAAAATCGTCGGCATAAACTGTCTCTCGGAAAACATCCAACAATTGCTTTGCTGGCATCGCGGGCCCAAAACAGCCCCTTTCATGCTAATCAGATACGAGAAAACGCCGCTATCTGCAACTTCCCGGGCCTCCAACTTTTCTTATTCTTTTAATTTCTATTGTTTACAGCCTCGGGACACTAAGGTTTCCTCACATGAACTCAAGTCTCAACATCAATTAAAAAATTGCACGGCGAAAAGCAGAACACGCACGAGACGGACTGAGAAAACCGGAGATGGATTTTCATCCATAACTTCCGGAAAGCAACAAAAACGTATCCGGCCGAGCGCGCGGCAGATAGATGCTTCAAATCACGCGAAGAGAGGAACGAAAGAGAGAGGGAGGGAAGGAAGAAGAAAAAGGGAGGGAGGGGGAGGGGGAGAGAGAAGGGAGGGCGGGGGGGGGAGGAGCAGCAGAACACAACAACGGAGGGGAGCGAGGAGAACGAGAAGGAGCTTGGCATGACGAAGGCGATCGAACAGTGCGCAGCAGCGTGTCATTCTCGAATAATGTGTATTTTGCACGTTCGCCGATATCACTCTCTGCACGAGATGGTCTTGCTTTATAAAAGCCACGTTGCTTCATTCGCTGAATATCGCACGCCCGCTATAGCCCACGCTACTAGCACCGCTCTTGAGATGCTCGACAACGTGCAAAAACGATGTTTGCGCTCCGTTGGTCTCACAGAATTGGAGGCTCTGGAATCTACAATCTCGCCCCTCTCAGCACGCGGAAGGACATTGCGACTCTTGGTGTAATTCATCGTTCTGTCTTAGGTCTTGGTCCCAATTTTTTCCACCGTTTCTTTCGCATCGATCCCTCTCCCCCTCCTCCTCGTTCCCGGCTTCGCCACCACCGCCGCCTGCGTGACCCGTGCGATCTTCGAGCTCAAGACTTCCTCGTTCGCTCTGATCTTGGTGGCGTACGGCTGTACAACATCCTGGCAGAGTTTATAGTCGCCGCCAACTCTGTCCGCGAATTCCAATCTCGATTGCAGGCTTTCGTTGTGTTCCGGGCGCAGCACGGCTACGCAGACTGGGATGCATCATTGTCCTGGCGGATTCCGCCCGCAAGCCACCCTGTGAGGTTTTTTCAAGACTGGCACGGCTAATCCGGCCCCCTCCCTCTCTCTCTCCCCCCCTTTGTCTTCCCGTTCCCTCCTCTTTCCTCCTTCTCTGCTGTCGTTCGTTCGGTCGCCCTCTTCTCCTCCTCCCTCCCCCCCTCCTCTGGCCGCCGGGTGTGGATCACCTCGCGCGTTTTTGTTGGCGCGATTGCCGATCCAGGGCTCGGCCCTTCTCCCTCCCCCCCGCCCCTCTCCTCCCCCTCGTCGTCTTCTGTCTGCTATGTTATATATAGCGCTTCGCGCACGATTTCGAAGTAAACCAGCTCCATCGGGAGGCACAATCGCGCAGACACATCAATACAAATTTTGTTCGACATCAGGCAATGTTTACTTGCTGGAAAAACTGGAAGCTGAAAATTGAACTTTCGATGCGCTAGAGACTGCCCAAACCGTCCGACCTATGAAGGAGAACAGCTTGATTGGGCACACGGTTCAAGAGGAGGACATTCGATAGCTGCCACCATCGTTTACTGCCGCAGCGAATCGAACAAGGCTTGAAACGCGTACTTTCGATAAACTTAACGCGGGCTCGAAACAACCCAGCGCTGCAGAACTGACATGCCTCCAGAAAAAATCCGCAGCAGCAGCGCTGTTCTTCAACACAACTAATCGCACGCACTGCTCAGTGAGCCAGGGGTGAGAAGGGCGGAACGAAAGATTAAACTGAAGGGTAAAATCTTTCATGCCTCTACAAATAATGTCTGTGAGGGAGCCTAGCAGAGACGTCAGGACTGATTGAGAAGATCCAGTCCCAATTTTCCTGGAACAAACGCCATTGCAAAGCCGTCCAGTCAGCACCAACCCAGCCGAAATTTCGCCGGCAGGCGTCCGAATTCACGCAGTCAAAGACAACGGTCACGTCAGAACACTACAACCCGATCCGCGCTTGCTGATCAAAAAAAAGCCAGAACAATTAAGCAAACATATCATATCGGATCTCTGG